GATCATAGAGCCGGTGTCGATGACCGCAGGTATAGTGTTGCCATTAATTTCAGCATTGATCTTGATGAGACTCTGGCGAACTTCTGTGATGCGCGATGGAAGCTTCGGTGCTGGTGCATTGTCGCCACAATTCTTGCAACGGTAGGTCCGGTAGGTTCTTGCTCCTTGTTTTCCTTGAGTTGAGACCTGGTAGGCTTGTTATCCATGACAACTCGCCTAGAAATCTCTGGAGAGATAGCGCAGAGTTCCTGTTGAGTAAGTTCAACCTTGGCGTTGAGGAAACGATTGTAGATGGCGTCGTGATCGACCTGTTCAGAATTTAAAGATGTCAGTTTGCCAGACTTCTGAGCTTCGCGGTCCTTCTCCTGAGTGGTAGGCGAAGGTCGTTTGAGTATAGTGACAGGCGCAAGTTGAGGGTCTTCCATAATGACGTCCGAGTCGTCCGAGTTGAATGCCTTGTCAAAGACGTCGACTGGGGTGTGTTGAGGCTGGGTGTCCACGGGCTTGGGAGGATTTCGCTGCTTGCCTACCCATCCTTTGTTGGTCATTTTGGGGAAGGAGGCGTCGTGCGCTGGGATCCGATTTGCTTTTGAGCCGTCCTTGGGTCTGGTACCGCTTCGCAATCCATCACGTGCCATATAGACAGTGACTTCATCGTCGTCGTCGTCTTGTTCTTGTTCATTGTTCATCCAGATCTGGTCGAGTTCTTCTGGAACCACAGTGATGTTGGACCTTGGGAACATCCGCTCGATAGTTTTGATCATAGGTTCGCCTGGATTCCTAGGTATGGGTTCGCCGTTAGCTTGCACGAGTCGTCCGTCAACTGTCTTGATGTAGTGCTGATCACGGTAGGGCTTGAGCTCAGGACAGACTGCTATCCTGTGCCCTGCCTGTCCGCATCCGTAACACATGAATTGAGTTGGCCTAAAATTGTTGGGGAATGTCGAGGGTGATTGTTGATACTGTCGCTGTGGTTGAGGCTGAGGCGGCGGCTGAGGCGGTGGCTGTGCTTGAACTTGAGTCGGCATAGGTGGAGTCGAGTTATAGTTCCTGTTCATAACTTGAGGCGTCGATTGTACCATAGTCGAGGGGGCTGATACGACTCCGACAATGTCAGGGTCGATCTTCTTTGCTCTGTAATATAGAGCCGCATAAGTTGGGTCGTTCAGAGACATACCGTGTAGCTGTGTGATGAGCTGTTCGACTTCTTCCTGCTTCTTGTTGTCCAGTTGCTGTGGATACGCCGATGTGATGGTGTCCTTGGTCTTGTTCTTCTTGGTCTTGTGGTGAGATCGCCAGCGGTCTTCATCATCTGATTCTTCTATTAGAGTGTCAGATTCTGAGTCGTCGTCGTCGTTATACCCTGCAAATAGGCGAGGTTTTCTAGAGCGCGTTCGCTTTTTGAGGAAACCGAGATCTTCTTCGTCGTCAGAGTCGTCCATGTCGAATCGATTCCTAGGGAAGAGTACTTCAGCAGCGGCGATGATGTGTTCCTTCTTGAAAGGCACTGTAACGTCAATGTCAGTGGGGTAGAGTTCATAGAGCTTTCGCTCCAGTTGGTTTCGCAGCGTCTTGGGTAGTCCTTTCCAGAAATAGTAGTTGCTCTGTTGTTCGTTGATCTTGCCTTTTCCTAGGAGCCATCCGCCGACGCGAATGAAGTTGCGCTCATAGTTCCTGAATTCGTCGATGTTGGAGATGGTGTCTTGTTTGGATAGAGCAACGAGCTCCCTAAGGTCGCGAAG